TTTTCAAACCCCACGATGAAGTACTTCGGTGCTTCTCGATCACTGACACACTCATCACACACTCCTGAGAATCTGCACTGTGCCAGTGGCTCGATGGGCTGAGCCTCAGGGAGACAGGTGGATGGATTCCGCCAGTGAAAGGCTGTGATGTAATGAAGGGCTGCCCGGTACCAGCGGCTGTTCCCTCTACGGAGAAGGCTGTCGGGTAAGACCCAGCCCAGCTGGCATGCCTGCACCCAGGGACGCTGTGCCAAGGCCACCGTGTCTAGCACCTGCTTCCTCCTTACTCTCAGACTGGTGTGTACGGTGCCTGGCGGTAACCAACCGTCTATAGCCGGTCGTTGCTTGCTGAATAGGGGTTATACACACAGTAAGTGAGCTGGAAAGTTTTAGGTATTTTTAACACTATTGGAGACAATTTTAGGAGAGAAAAATGTTAGGCTTTATTTATTTCTATTTTTTGGAGCGCCAAGCAAATTTTCTAGTAACTGCAGTTCTTAACTATTCCTGTTGCTATGTGCAAGGGGTAGGGCAGGAGATTTTTTTTTTTTGAATAAGTGAAAAAGTAAATTGGTGCAAAGCCACACTTTTACTGGTTTTAAATGATCTGTCCTTAAAAATCTTAGGGGATGCTATTTTTGTCATTGTTTTCTTGGTGGAAACCAGAGGTGTGTCTGGGACCAGTCTCGAGGGGTGAGATACAAAGGCCCCCACTTAATTCAGGCACTGGGGCTCATCCAGGCCAGGGTGGTTGCACCTTCTTTATTTCTAGGGTGGTTTCCATGTTAAGAGAGTTTCCTATGTCCAAGCTTTCCAGAGTGTTTTGTTGCTTCAGAATCCAAGCTGTTAGGAACATTTTTGTCAGTATTTGTTTGGTGACATGAGTTTCTTTTTGAAATTTGTCTCTCCTGGATCCGGTAAAAGAGATCCCTATTTTTATCAGGGGTAGTTTTTGCTTCTGGCGGCCTTAGATTCTTGCTTAGTTCTGACACCATTGATGTACTTGCTAAAATCCATATTCGCCGATTATACAAGACAGGAACAAGGAGGAAATTTAACATGATTGATTAGCATGTATGCTGCTCTGGAGGTCTCAGACTATCGGTCGGGTTTCAACGTAATTCTTAGGAAAGGCGATGCCTTCATCTTGGACTGGAGAAACATAATGTCCTAGGGCATTTTCTGTGTTTAAACCCTGCCTTCCTTCCCTGTCCCATGACTCAAGCTTCAAGCTTGCAGCATCGCTCTTGGTCCTGCCCCTCTGGCCTTTGGAAATCCACTGACATCTTGTTGCTGACCTTTTCCCTGACATTGCCCTCTTGCCCACACCTATTCACCTACTGACCTCAACACTCTGTTTCCTATGTTTTCACCTGTTCCTTCTCCTGCAGGGCTTGCATTGCACACGGTCTCCTGCAGGGCTTGCATTGCACACAGTCTCCTGCATGGGTTGCATTGCACACGGTCTCCTGCAGGGCTTGCATTGCACACAGTCTCCTGTAGGGCTTGCATTGCATACATTCTCCTGCATGGGTTGCATTGCACATGGTCTCCTGCAGGGCTTGCATAGCACACAGTCTCCTGCAGGGCTTGCATTGCACACATTCTCCTGCATGGGTTGCTCCTGCAGGGCTTGCATTGCACACATCCTCCTGCATGGCTTGCATTGTGTAGTTCACCTTCCATGGAAGATTCCTGCACATTAACAACTGACGGATTTTTGTTTAATGAATTTACATACGCTGTTTGGTAAGCTTGAAGCTATTACATATTTATGGAGATGAATATATTATTTCGTCCTCATTCTGGTCAGGTATGGTTAGGTAGCAGTGAATAGAGTAAAGCAGGTTAATAATGGTCTGGGAAAATTGTGTGCAGTGGTCGAGGGTGCTATGAATGGTTCAGATGATGGCTTCATTTACTTTTGATGGCTGCTTGCATTTTGAATAAAAGAAGCAGTTATTAGTAAATGTAAGTTTTAAAGTTTCCTAATTTGTCTAGTGAGTCTACAGAACTGATGGGAGATGTCATTCTGTATATATGTTTCTCTTATTGGTTAATGACTAGAGCACTGTTGGCCAATAGGAAAGCAAGATAGGTGGGACTAGGAGACAAGGAGGATTCGAGGAAGTAGTAGGGAGGAGTCAACATGTAGAGACTGGAGATAACAGGTCGGGGCCCTCTCTCCAGTAAGATGAGACCACGTGGAAATACTTAGATTAATAGAATGGGTTAATATTTAAGACAGCTAGCCAATAAGAAATGCTAGTAACAAGCTAACATCATTATATCAAATACAGTGTGTTATGGCTGCCAGAAAAACTGCTCATAACACAGAACAACAGTCAGGGGTTATAGGGAATTTTTTTTTTTTTTCACTCCTATCCACCATTGTTATAGCCTGGCAACATTTCACTCCTAGACCGTGACAGTAAGCAGCAGCAGCGGAGTCTACCATCTCAGGGAGAGTCCTCAAGACTCCACAGCAGAACAGGTAGTCCCTTTGCTTCTGGGTGCCTTGTCTGGAAGAGGCTTGCAGCTGGGAGCTGGGTTGCTCTCGCAGGCTAAGGTCGGGGCTGAGAGCGAGCCTGTGTCCAATGCACTCCTTGTTAAAGGCTACCACCGTTCCTCAAGCCAGTGTGAACTATAGCTTCGTTGCATGCAGTTACGGGACTGGACAAGAGACACTTGACATTTCAGAATGTAACTTTAAATGTTCATTGCAAATCCCAGCTTAAATTTGCCATTTGGACCCCAGCTTTAACAGAAACAAACAAACAAACAAGAACCCTTCCCTTTGACCCTGAGTTGGTCATTTGTGGTTTCGTCTACTGTGCGCAGGGCCGGTGCTATTCCATGGGTTCTCAGAGCCATTTCAGTGGGACTTGTTGAAAATTGAAATGTTATGTTAAGAGTTTATAGGGCCCAGTGAAGGAGATGTGTAAATATGATCTTTCACTGCTTCCAAGTTTATAATGAAGTTTATTTGTGCTAACGTCACCTCTGGAGATAGCGCTGACCAGCTGTTAGTAGGTTTGACTGATGCTTAGGGTAGAAATGAAGCCAGTGGTATTTTCTCCTGCTAGATCCTTTCCCTGTCTCTTGTTACCTTATTATTATTATTTAATCCTTTGGACTATAGAGACAAATGACTCCTAGTTGAGTTTCAGAAAGATGACGCTTGTGTATTGTGTGTGAAAACTGGCAGCTTTCAAACGCTTGAAACAGTTATTTCTTTTTCAAGTGAAATGGACGTTTCCAGGTTTGGTAAGAGTGGGATTTTCAGGCAGTTGAATGTGCCATTTGATGGGGACTATTTCATTGCTCTGTGCACAAACGGTGGCCGGTTTGAAAGTTTGTGTGTTTAGTAGAGGAGGAGTTGTAGCTTTTCATCATTCTGAGACACTCCTGAGAATAAATATAACTATCCCAGGACACCTGGCACACAGGTACCGCCCAGGGGGGGAGGCTACCTATAATACGGAAATGGTGGGCACTGGCAGAGAGGAATCTGGTAAATTGTAACGTAAGATGGATGCAGTCTTCATTCCTCCCCACATGCCTGTGCCAGCCAGGTGTATTTAAGGAGGTCTGACCCTGCAGTGAGCCTCTGCAGCTGGGGGCTCGTGGAGTGGATCCCTCTGCGTGCCTGCAGACATTTCAGTAGCTATCGCTGTGGGCAACTGTTGGCCACAGTACGGAGTGCAGAGACAAATCCTATGCGTTCACGGACTCTAAACTTTTTCCTCATCGATTTAGCGCTGCTTATCCATTGATGGTTCCTGATCCACAGTGGGGTGAGAGGTGAAAGGGCGGGTTATTTAAATGAGAAGGCGGAGCATTTGCACCCTGTATTTCAGGGAGAGGTGTTGTAGTCTTCATCCCTATGGGCACTCTCGGAAAGTGAACTAGCTTGAAATCTGTCTTATGCTTAGATGACACTGACAGGTGGGACGCAGCTGCGTGTGGCTGTGGTGTGTGTGTGTGTGTGTGTGTGTGTGTGTGTGTGTGTGTGTGTGCACTGTGCTAAAAGCAAGGAAACGGAAGATAGCAGGCCGTTTCGGCTTCCCTTGCCGTCTCTGTAGGATTTCAGAAGTGGCATCGGGCAGCAACAAGAGCAGGAGAGCAGGCAAGGAATGAAAGCTTAAAATGTGTTGAACTGAGAAAGGGGAGCGTGGGCATTAGCTGTCCAGCGGTGTTTAGGGTTCCCGGAGTGCTGAGCGCTGGCTTGACCTTCCACCCAGGATCGCTGTACACACCTTCCCAGATTCCGATAGTCCTCAGGGGGCGCGGGGATGCTCAGGGCTCAGCAGACAGAACTGGACTCTTGGCCACGCCTTTGTTTCCTAAGCAGCTGTACTTAATAAAGGCCTTATCTAATGTCCCACACGTAAAACATCAAAGCACCAACTTAGAATTTCTTTACATGGCTTTAAAATCGGTTTTCATGTTAACTTGCTCCTCTGCCTGTTTTCAGAGCTAGAAAAAACAAACAAACAAAACAAAAACAAAAAGCAACAACCCCCCACTATGGTTGCGTATAGGTGGTTCTTTGAGATAACTGTAAAAAGTGAGTTACCTGTGGCTTATTTAAAACTCTAGTATTTCCGGAAGAATTGAACATGGGGATTCAAGTCCACACTGTGCATAGGTCGGCTTCAGGAGTGTCTTAACACTTCCTTCTCCTGAGCTCTGGCCATTGGCTTAGGAAGTCCTCATCCTCTGAATAAGAGAGGGCTTGAACTCACACTGAACTTCTTTTGGCAAGGTTAGACGTGATTATATGTTGTAAATATTCCTGAATGCCCTTAAAAAATGTCTTAGCTACACTGAAGACCCGTGGCGGGTCGAAAGGGAAAACTTTCTTCAGTTTTAAACGCAATACTGGAAAAACCAGGATTCCTTGCACCACTACTCAAACGCTTGAGAGTTATTTTTCCTGGTGTAGTAACAATGATTTGTAAAGAAGTGTCAGTTAACACTGTGAATAAAACATGCAGGACTTAAAGAAAGATCTACTTCGGAGAAGCCATTCCCAGCAGAGGAGGCCGAGCCACCGGCTGAGCTGGAGGAGCAGGCTCCTGACTTTGGGGCAGGTAAGTATCAGGGGAGACTCTGGGGCATTGCCTGGCCTGCAGCCGACCTTGCAGTTAAGCAGCCATGTGTCACCTGGTTGTTCAAATTGTTTATAAAGTGAATTACACTTTCTTCTTTTCTGAAATTATAGTAATTAACTTCGTAGTGAAAAGGGTCTGCAGCGTTTTCATTTTTTTTTGTAACCAGGATTCCAAGACACAAATGGTTGGTTGTGCATTGCCCAAGACCATGCAGTAGGGACAGCAGAAGCCGAGGGTGTCTTGACTCTAACTGCAGCACCTTTCAGTCTCATTAGATTCAAAGTAAGCACAGGCACAGACCGTACACAGCCTGATGCATGAATGAGTTCACATGAACGAGTCCAGCAGGAATTGAGCTCCCGTTGCCCCGAAAGCCTCCCTGCACCTGGTGATGTTTCCATCCCTGTGGCTTCACAGATCAGGCCACAGTATGTCCGTAGGGGGTCTCATAGTTTGGAAAGTTGAGGTATTTTAGTAAATCAAATATTTTAGTCTGTGACCACCGTTCTCTGCTTGCGACATGGTCATTGTAGACTGCAATTAGCTTCAGTGCTTCTTTCTCGCAATACTTAAGAAAACCGGTAGTTTCTTTGCGCCCCCTATTGGAAGGACTGCATATGACATGTTTATCGAAAACAATTTACAACCCCAAATTGTGCTGATAATACTGTAGTATTTTTTTTTTGCTTCATCCCTTCAAGGAGCAGGAAATTAATCTGAGTTTTATTATTTGTTATTTCAGAACCCTAGGATAATTTATTTTCTCCTTCTCACGCCTATGGAATTGGTATATGGCTCCCGAATCCATACTGCTTTTTTTGTAAAGAGTTTTAATTTAATTATTTGAATTTAACACTTAACTATTTTACTTTGTACTGAATAGACTTGTAATTTTTTTAAAAAATCTATTTTTAAGTGAGTACTGGATTTCAGATGCTCCATCTACTTCCCATTCTCCCTTGTTGTTAATGATTCGTGGGAAATGATTGCCAATTAGCAGGCTCACTGGTTTGTTGCTAGCCATCATTGTCCTCGGCCTCTTGGCAATGTTTTCAGATCGCATTCCACCCTCTCAGCCCTTCTCTGACTCCTCCCATCTGTTTTGTAAATGCAGATACCTGTCTCTCATTAAACTAAAGCCTCTGCCCTCCTAACTCCCTCCTGCCACCCCCCCCCCCCCACTGTAGTAAACACACTTTGGAAAGAACACATTTTCTGTCCATCCTTTAACCTGCTGTAGTCTAGCCTATAACTCTTCACCATCTCCACGGAAGAAGAAAGACACATATGGAATCGGACATGACGTGGCAGGAAGTTCACTACATTCCAAAGCAGTGCTGGTACCCTGAGTCTGGGGACGCGTGGGAGGACCCGAGTTTGTAGTTCTCAGTCCTTAGGCTTCCCTGTCTAGGAAGTCAGTAAAGAAACAGCTAGACACTCTCCATGTGATCCCATCGGATGCTTTTCCCAGCACCGTTGGAATGGGCCCCCCAATGAGGGGACTGTCACAAACCCGGAAGACAGTGCAGTAGAGCATCTTCATGCCTGAGTTTATTCTGTCACCGAAGACCCGTGCTTTGATGGGACCCTGCCATTGCCGTTATTCATACGCAGCGCTGATGATACGAGATGAAGTCTAGACTGTGTCAGCAAACACGCAATGCCGCAACAACTTATTTGCTGTGGAACATTGGGTATAATCTTACAGTGAGAAGTACTATGGTGTCGGCAAAATGTGGTCATTAACATCCACTTTTGTAAGTCACAATTATCAGAGCCTGGGGCCCTGGCCTTTCAGATACATTTTTCTGAAGCTGGCAGGGTGTTCATCACACAAGCTTCAGATCTGGGGGTCGGGAATCCCTACCTACTCAGGCCCTCAGTCCAGCAAGGCTTCAGGCGTGGATCACGTAGTTTAGTCTGTGTGGAATTCGGTCTTTTCCAGTGCTCCTTACGTAAGCTGACACCTTGCTTCCTTCTAATTTGAATGGGAATTTTATAAATCAGAAACTGAAAGCATTTGCTTTTGAACTATTTTTTTTAAAGGAAAAAAAGTCCATGCCTGAATTAGTTTCTTCTTTAATAGGACATTTGAAAGTCTCTTAGTATTTACATCTGCTGAGCAAATAAGGCCAATTTTAAGTGTCTTCTGTGTTTGCCGATGTAGCAGAGAAAGTGCATATGGATATGGAAAAATGCACAGCCTCTTAGTCAAGTGTAGTCATGTCAGTATGTATGCAAGTGACTTATTTAAGTGTTGGAATTTCCCATTAATACTTGAGTGTTATATTCTTCTGTTATGTTTTGTAATTATTTTAGAGGTCCAGGATGTTGAAGATGAAGTAAAAGAACCAGTTCAGTCCCTTCTCCAGGAATCAGTACACACAGAATATGGTATGAACTCAATTCTGTTTTGCACAAGTTATTACAATAGTTGACTTTCTAGAACTACATTCCGAGTATTTGTAGACCCAACTATTATTTCTGTGGGGGTGGAGCACTGGACATGCTTTTCAAAATCCCACCTCACTGTGAAGGAGTTTTATGAACATATTTTAAAATCAGAGGCATAAATGAACAATTCAAGGCCAGTGTTCTGTCAGAGTGCGGTGACCAATGCAGGCCAATGACTCTGGCTGCTTGTCTTGGTGTGCCCCCCCCCCCATCCTCAGGAGCTCTCCTCCACATGAGGAGAGATGCTCCACAATCAGGAACTTTGCCTCTACCTTCAGGACCTTCTCGGCCACCAGGAGTGATGCTGAACCCACAGGAGCAAGCTTTCTTTCTCACAGTCTTCTTGATGTTTGCCTGGTTACCCAAGCAAAACACGAGAAGCAATTTTACTGTCATGCTGTTGAAGAGATCAGGAACTATCCTCCCCCTGCGTGGCTCTGGTTTCTCGTGGTGGGATCTGTGTAGAGAATATCGAATGATAATCCCGCAATCGGTGTGCCAGAGTTACGTAGGGATCCTCCTGGAAACACCTCCTGATAAAAGCAGATAGCATGACCTCCATAGTGTAACTTGTGGAGGGGAGGTGAAGGGGAAGGACATGGACACTTGGTATCATTTCTTAGTGAGATCTGAGGGAAGCCTAAAGGAAAAACTATTATCTCATGAACTCAGTACCTCACCTTGTCACTGAATATTGCCGATAGCTGCTGGGAATATAGGAAGGATTGCCCCTTATAACTCTGGGTCACTGGCGTGTATTTCTTCCTCATAGCACACACAGGCTACCACTCCCCACCCCACCCCTGTAGTGCAAGCCCAAGGGAGATGACATCTAAGTACTGAATTCAGTGCGATGAGCTGAGAACTGCCGTGGTGAGTCACTGGGTACTGAGTGAGGTCACCAGGCCTAGGACTCAGACACTTGCTGCAAAGAGGGCTTGCCTCTTCCAGCAGAACAGTTCATCTGGCCATTGTTGTAATTGGGGGCCCAATGTGAAGTTAATCAGAATGGCTGGCACAGGTTAGAGAGGGGACGGAATAGTCACTTTGAAGAGGAATTGGAGCTGCCAGGAAAGGAATAGGATAGTGGTATAGTTTGTTCTGCCTACTTCCCCCTCCCCCCCCCTGCAAGACAGGGTTTCTCTATATTGGAGTCTGTCCTTTAACTAGCTCTGTAGACCAGACTGGCCCTTGAATTCACAGAGGTCTGCCTGCCTCTGCCTCCCAAGTGCTGGGATTAAAGGCGTGTGCCACCAACGCCCGGCTGCAGTCTGAAGAATAGGCAGGAACATGCCTGTGTGCACAAGAGACCACAAAGGAAGTCAAGATGGCCCAAGAAAGTCGTCTCTACAAGGGTGGGGATGCAGAGGAATGGGAAGGTGCAGCATGCAGCTGTTTGCCAACAGCCCAGTGGCTAAGGTGTGGGTGATGAATAGCAAACCGAAAGAGGAAAGAATCCTAGAGCCTGGTTCCCTGCCGTGCCTCTTGCTCTTGGTCCTTAGAGAGGCTTGCTCCAGAGACAGTCACATCAGACATCATTTATGTGTTTCTACTCCTGCAGATGTCACCAGTGACTTATCTGAAGTCGCACTGTACCCAGTTAGGCACAGCACAGGTCCGTTTGGGTATGCCGCGGGTGACTCAGGCTGTACAGTAAAGGCTTTCTCCCCGGTGCAGGCTCACGGCTCCCATCAGCCCTCCCTCATGTCAGTTGCTTGAGCTTTTGATACTTTCATTAATGAGTTTGCCTGTCGTGGCCCAAGCTAAAACTCCATGCGTTTTCTATGATTTTTCTCGTTCCCCTAGCCGCAAGCCCCGTCCAGTGTGCACTCAACACGTGCTCTGCCTTTTGTGCCTTAGCTCCTACTGTCACCTCTTGCCATGGCCCTGCAGGGGCAGTCATCCAGGTCTGTTTCCGCTCTCTGTTTCATGCTGGGTGTGGCCACAGCTGTGACGCTTCAGTCTCGGTCTTTGCCTCTCCCCCAGCTTGCGGTCTCTGTGTCCTGGGACAGTTCCACTTTCTGTGTCTCAGGGCCTTTGCATCTGCTGCATCATCTGCCTGTGTGCGTTTCTCATCCCTACCACCACATCTTCACATCGCATCAGACTGAGCATGACCCCCCTGGACCTATTGTCGTAAACTCCATTGCCACCCTGTACCTGCCATGCTAGCTCTGTGGTTTGAGCGAAGTCACATCAGCTGTACAGGGAAAGCGCAGCCGCCCGCAGAGTTGACGGTGCCTACTGTAGTGAGGATGTGCTTGCGTGTGCTCACACGTGGCTGACACGTGCTGCACGGTGGAGTAAAAGCCACTGGACAGTGCTTGCAGTGGCGCGTCCATCGAACAGTAGCGTTAGGTGTGGTTTCTCCACTGGAACAATGGCGCGTCCATCGAACAGTAGCGTTAGGTGTGGTTTCTCCACTGGAACAATGGCGCGTCCATCGAACAGTAGCGTTATCTGCTAGTGGTGCAGTCACAGAACTGCTCGAGAGGGGATGAAGGGAGAAGGAAAGAGGACTGGACCCGTGCGCAGTCACAGCTTCCGGTAGCAATTAGATTTGGTGGGTGGTTTTGTGGATAGCAGGTCTAAACGGAGGGGAAACTCCAGCGCAGGTGGTATTGAGAGGACTGTAAGTGGACCCTGTGCACCCCCTATAGCTCTCTGAGGACCTCTGGGATCTGTGAAAGCAAAAATAGTACTGAACTCCACCCTCATCGTTAACACAGCTCTAGTGTCTGCTGTTTGAGGGGCAGTGGCAAAATTAGCACATTTTTTTTTCTCAATCTGAAGATTTTATAGCTATCTAAAATGTCTTTTTATGTTTTTAAAAATCAATTATTAAAAAAAAAAACAAACAAAGTATGGGTATTACTCCTTGACATAGCCAACATCACTGTTCTTGTGCTTTGGAGCCATTGTTAAGTTACATGAAGATTCCTGTACCATAAATAACTGTGCCACTAAATCTGATGACACACAACTGCTTGGTGACTCATGGGCAGGTTGAGTACACGATGTTGATGAGCCTGGACCAAAGGGTGATTCATGTCTCAGGTGGGATGGAGAGGGATTTCATTACTGGGAGTTGAACATATTTAAAAATGCTTATTCTTGGAACTGTAAAGTTTCATACTGTGGTTGGCCCCAGACAAATGAGACTTCAGAAAGCAAAACTGCAGATAAGGGGGGGACCTTCTATGAAAAAGATATCTACACAAGTGGGTCTGTATGATTTAGTGACTCTGTGCATCATCATGCCTCAGCATGCAGAACAACTAAAAAGGGCTTCCTGTGGTCATGGGGGCAGTTCAGTAACAGTAGAGAGAACCTTGTCATGTCTATAGTAATTTTAATGGTAATGACCACACTAGCCACTTATGATGGACCAGGCATCCTCCTAAGTATTTTCATCCTCTTACCAATACTCTGAATAGAGAATTATTATTCCAGTTTTATAGAAGGGAGTCTCAGGCATGGAGTAGGTAATTTGTTTACACTCAGGCAGCTGATGTAAAGAGCCTAAATCCAGAGCCTGCCTCCTGAGACTCCAGATTGACAGCCAAGTCCAGCTCACTCAGGTTCTTCAAATGGAGCATTGTTTACAGGAAGTCATCTGCTGGGGGCCATGCGAGTCACTGTGGTAACCCGATGGCAAGGTCACAGGCCAAACTATATTGAAATGGAGTAATGTAGCATGTCCAGTATATCCTAAAGAATTCAGCAAAGAACTTTCTACCTCTGCTAACTAAAATAGCCAAGCATAGGCCAGTTGAGATGCACAGTGTGAGGTATGTCTAGGGTGCAGTAATGTGACTTAGCAGGCGACCAGCTGCTTTCCACATTAAAACATTTAAGTTATCGATTATAGCCGCTACGTGCAATTTGGCAATTCTCAATGAAAAGTCTTGGTGCGGGATCATAAAAGAGATGTGCGTGTTAATAATTACAAATTCATTTATTGATTCAACAATTATTTAGGAGCACCTCCATTGACTACTCACGGCCCTAACTGCTTAGTATGCAGTATCAGCCACATAATGAGGTGGCTGTCCTCACGAGTTCCCATTGTGATGAGTAGTGACTCTCACACAGACTGGCAACGGCCAGAGTGAGAAGGTGGCTTTAGAGGAGATGACGTTCGAGGCTCGTGGGGTGGCTGAAGATGGGTCTGTCTGGGTTGGCTGCCACTGTGGGCTCTTGCTGCTTCCCCTTGCTCACTGTTTGCCCTTGTTGAAGACTCAAAGCTGGAAGCAGATGGACCAGCAGAACCGCAGCCAGAGGTTGAGGACTTCCTCACAGTCACTGATGGAGATGACAGATTTGAGGTCCTGGAACCTGAGGCAGTTCATGAAGGTAGAACACATTTGTTTAAAAACAGTCGATAGGGAGGGGGGGGGCTGTTCTTCCAGAGGACCCAGGTTCAATTCCCAGCACCTGCATGGCGGCTCACAACTATCTGTAACTCTAGTTCCAGAGGATCTGACATCTTCACACAGACACACCTGCAGGCAAAAGAAAATAAATAAAAATAGTTGGTAGTTTATATTGTAATAAAATGTTTCTAAAATTCCTTTAAGAGCAATATTTAATTTTATGTAAATATTTTGAGGATGAAGCTTAATGCTTCAAAGTGACTGAATTTTTCTTTAAAATAAAATGATACCTGATCTCTTTCAAAGCCTGAAGGACACTCATACGTAGGTGGCTTTCTGATAATGGTAAGTTCAGTATCTAGGCAGAGTGCCCTATGGTGCCACTTAGGGGCCTTGTACTACATGAACTTCCAGTGACATAGAATCCTGCACTTGCTGTCTGTCCCTGGCTTTTGTTCTAACAGCACTGTCTCCCTGTACTGGGCAGAGGGAAACCTGTAGCTTCTGTAGCACGTGCCCCCAGATATTTTTTGTAAGTAGCCAGGTAACAGGTGTTTTCAGCTAGCGGAGAATTCAGTAGATGCTAGGACTCTCAGCTGCTGTTGTATCACAAACACAACCATCAACTATAATTAATTGGGTATAAACATGGCTGTGTTTCCATGTACCTCTATATCCAAAGCCAGCTAACAAATGATTGCAAAAAACGTCACAAAACGTCAAAGCGTGTACACTGTACACTGACATACTGTGCTGAGGAATTGCTTTAGTGGTAGATTTTCAAATGATTTTATATCATTTGAAGTGGGAAGGATTTAATATCAGCAAGGTTAGGAGGTCAACTCTGGCCAGGAAGAAACACTTCTAAGAAGTCTGTAAGTTAAAGAAACCTGATTTTCTATCATAATGTTCGATGAAAACAGATTAAAGTTGAACCAAAAGTTTTATCATTGGAAGTCTTTAGAGATCAAAAGTATTTGTACTTGTAATCTGCCCAATGCAATATACAAAGATCGAGTCACGAAGAAACAGATAAGGGAGTATGGAGTGGACTTGTTGAGAAGGCTCCGTTGGGAGTGCAGAGGATGAAGAGAAGGTGATAGAGGATGAATATGATTGGAACATATTCTGTACATGTTGAATTGTCACAGGATACTAAAATACACGAAGGTTATAGTGGCCAGGACCAAATGCTGGTGTTTATATTGTCTGAGTAAGTGAGCTCAGTGACCCAGACAATTTCTGTGCAGGTGGCCATGCCCACATTTGTTGGAAGCCAGGCTGGATGGTGAGACCCTGTGTCAAAAAAAAAAGTAGAAACCCAGGCATGGTGTTAATGCAGGTAATCCCAGCCCTGAGGAGGCAGAGGCAGGTAGATCTCCATGAGTTCTAGGCCACCCTGGTCTCTGTAGAGAGTTCCACACCAGCCATAGCAACCTAGAGAGATGTCTGAAAACAAAACCAACCAACCAACCACCAACCAATAAAACAAAACCAAACCAAAAAACACATACTCCTTTTTAGCTTTTCAACAAACATACCTAGTCTCTATTCTTGTTTTCGTCTGTATTTTCTTTCTTTCTTCCTCTTTCTTTCTTCCCTTCTTCCTTCCTTCCTTTCTTTCTTTTCTTTTTCTTTTTGTTTTTCTTTTCTTTTCTTTTTTTTTTTTTTTTTTGTTTCGTTTTGTTTTTTGAGACAGGGTTTCTCTGTGGTTTTGGAGGCTGTTCTGAATCTAGCTCTTGTAGACCAGGCTAGTCTGAAACTCACAGAGAGATCCACTTGCCTCTGCCTCCTGTGCTGGGATTAAAGGTGTGTGCCACCACCACCTGGCTTCATCTGTGTTTTCAATGTGCATTTTCACTTCAGGAAATAGTAGGACAAAGCTAGTAATTAGAATGCCACAGTGGAATGTGAAATGGAATAACAATTTGCACCTTTCTTGCATTCAGCCTTTATCCCTGTGGGTCACTGTGTGAATTGCCTTCACTCTTTACCCAATGTTTTGGTGTGTCTCAACACTGTGGAAGTGGTGGGTGGGTAAAGTAAGAGTGCATGAGACGTGTGGTATAAAGTAGTGATTAAATGATAGAGACTTAATTGCTATTCCCATGCTTCATTTTGATAGTTTATAATAAAATCATTGATAAGCATTGGAATTATATAAATTATCATTTAAAATAGACATATATAGCAGTATACCATATAGAAGAAAATAATAATATCAACCTAATGCTTTTTCCCCCCCAGAAACTGAGGATAGTTACCATATGGAAGAGACAGGTAAGATTTCATTAGTTAGAATGAATCTTCTAACAGTATCATGAGTTAGATAAAATCATATTTATTACTATTTATTAGTATTTTAAAATTATGTATTATATGACATATAGCCACTAATGTTATTTGTGTCTCATTTGTACTTATTTCCTGAATATAAACCCCAAGTAGTAGAATTACTTTGTCAATATATACAAAGAAATTGCATTTGGTTTTGATGGTATATACCTGTAATTCCAGACTCAGAAAAGTAGTTATATAGTGAAACTTTGTCAAAACACACACACACACACACACACACACACACACACACACACACCAACAAAACCCAAGCTGGACATGATGCCTTACAGCGATAATCCCAGCACTTGGCAGGCTGGGATTGCCATGAGGCCAACCTGGGCTATAAAGTAAGACCGGTCTCAAACAGAATAAAAGAAAAATAAGCAAAGGCAAAACAATGCATGTGCATGCTTTATAGCCTTAAATTAGGAAGTTTGTGAAAGATCTGTATCATGTTTCCTCTCATGTCATGAGACCCTACGAAGCATGTCCATGCTTGAGCTGGATCCATCCTCTTGCAAGAAGCCTGTCTTGACTAGCTTTCCTTCTAGTATCAGAGCAAATGATTCTTTCCTGAGTTTAAGGCCCTCTTGGTGTTATTGAGTGGCCTTTAGGGCTCGGATCCCTCAGTGCTATGTGTCTATAAACACTGGAATTGTAACAGTTGAATCTAGTCTGGTAAGACTCCTGTGGCAAGCGGTCTTTATAGCAAGAGTGGGACTCACCCATACTGTTGTTTGGTGGTCTGTGCTTGTATGTCTTGAATTGTTGATTAGTTGAATTTGCATATGGCACATGAGAATATAAACTCTGCCGATTACTTGTGCATGGATTACAAATGCATTGGTGTTGGGAACTGCATATCTTTGTATTTGGTATTAAGTTCATACAAGTTTGTCCTCTGAGTAAACATGGTTGATCACAGAATTTGTGGCTGTCTGGTTCTAGGTATCATATCCAAGCCTTATTTGAGACATTTTTAACTTCCCCTTTCTTGATTCACAGCATCACAGGACCATCCGAACGATGTGGAAGAGGCGATGAATGAACAGGAAAGCTCAGGTTTGTAAATATTAAAGTTATCAGTGCATATTTCTGTTGGAAGTTGTGACTTAGGAAGGCTTAAGTCGGGGTGAGATGTCTACTCTGATTTCCCAGAGAGTTATCGTCGTAATTCTTGTAGATGTTCATATCCTCTAGATGACGAACTCGTCTGCATATCGTTTAACATTACAAGGTAAATGAAGAGAAAAGAATGCCTTTTCCCACCCCACCGGGGCACTAGACATGAATGCAGGAGTCTGCAAACCACAGTCTGCTCGTTGCCATCTTTGCAACTTGACTTGTGGGACTTTTTACATGTTAGATTTAATAAAAGATTGTAGTAGTACACGTGTTAGCTTTTGTTGTGACAAAAACAGCTGAGAGAGGTAATTTTTAAAGGATAAAATTTTTCAGTTTCATTCGCATATTGGCTTTCATTATGACGTCTTCGTACATTTGTAGAGTGTGCATTACGTATGTACACCCCCCCCCCCCGCCAGCCACCCTTGGCTGGTTTCCCCATCATCCTGGTTTCCTCCAATTTCCCAAATAATCCCCCCTTCTACTTTTGTGTTTTGTCTTTTCTCGTTTCCTTTCTTTCCCTCTCTTGCCCCTGTCCCTTCATCCCCTTTAAAATACAGTTTTCACATGAGGACCCACATGTTTGTCTTTCAGACTTCTGGCTTCACTTAATTCGATGTTTAGTTCAATCACTGACATCAAGTGACATCATTCTGTTCTTTATGGGGAAATAACGTCAGTCTTTAGTTACTCCACATTGGCTATAGCTACTCTTTGCTGATGGCCGCTTAGGCTTAGCTATTGTACATAGGGTCACAGCAAACAGGGGAGTGCAGGTGTCTCTATTGTATACAGACCTAAAGTGTATACCCTGGAGTAGGCTAGCAGGGTCAAACCAAGGAGGGAAGGCTCCTCCCTGCTCACAGAGTCAGATTTATTATTGTTGTTGTTGTTGTTATTTTTGGTGGTGATGCTGGGATTTGAACCCAGGGCAACCTGAGGACTACTTTGGGCCTGCGGCAGAACAGAATACTATGCAGCAGGAGCAGATGGCAGAGTGGGGCTACTCACAACATGGTCACCAGGAAGCAAAACTATTCTGAAGGGAGGGCAAGCTATTCTCAAAGACCCGACCAGTGACACACTGACCTATTTCCTCTAATAAGGCCCCACCTCCTAACGGCCCATATAGCTATGGATTCATTGATGGATTCATCCCTGATGAGATTAACACCTCATGATCCAATCACCTCTCAATAGTGCCACTAACTGGGGCCCGAGCCTCCAACAAAGGAGCCTTTGGGAACAGGTTATATCCAAGCCACGGCAGTATCTAACTTACAAAATCTTTTGGGTTAGAATTAATTTGTGACTCCTGTAGAACGGTGTATGTGATGTGTATGCTGTTCGCTATTAGGTGAAATCTTTCTTCTTTCTTCTTCTTAGATGTCAGTGAAGCAGTAACAGATGCTGACAAGCCACAGCAGGATGCAGGTATTGGATGGGCACTGCCATTCACCTTTAAATCGTGGACAGCATCTTCGGTGTTACTGTGTTTATTTGACGGCTTTTTCTTATAAAGATTAGAGATGCCATTTTAGTAGGACGTTTTTTGTTCCGTGTATCATGCACGTGTCTCCTTTTCTACTGACAGCCTCACTGTAACGAAGCAGGCTGCTAATTCCTAATGCTAAGTTTTTACAGCTCATTAGCAGGACTTTTTATGAGAATAAATTTCTTCTCTTTTTACATCCATTCCTTTTGGGCAGAGACACACATTTGTAACTGCAGCATTAATTCGAAATCTGTGTATAAGATAAGGTTTTTTTAATATTTGTTTTATTCTTTAGTTACACAGCCTTAATATCTTGCTTAATACTTATTTAGTCTTAAATCTCCATTTTTTTTTTTTTTGCAGAGGAAGTAACACAGCAAGACTATGATGAACCAGGTTTGTAAATATTTCATAACCCTAAGCCTCTCATTTGTTTCTTAGTTTACATACAAATACAGAGAATTACATTCGAAGCTATGACAATCATGCAACACCCAACAACCATCTTGAAAGAATTCACCTATTTCAGTGAATATGCCCTTGCTTAAATGATACCTTATTTTATTTTAGTTTACAAATTGCAGTGATAAGCTATTGAAAGCATTGATGTCATTTGACGCTCACCCCCTTTGACTAACATATGGACGGGCGACCTCTTCAGTCGGAGTTTGCTTCTACAAAGCCGTGCTTTCTTGAAGGAGACTTGCATGGCATTTTGTCCTGGTGGGGAAGACTGAGGCATGGGGTCTGGCCGGAAGTCCATGTGTAGGGTGACTGGGACTGTACAGGCCAGTGTTTAGGTGGCTGTACTGGTCTGGTCTCCAGGCACCTCCAGCACTAGCTTCTTGAGTTCCATGAAAGAGATTGTTTTCCCTGCTTTTGGGCAAGAGAATTGAGGTTGGGGAAGGTAGACACATTGCTCAAGATTCTCTGAGTAAGAGAGAGAGTTTGGGATGTGTTGTTTTTAATTAGAGCATCTCCAGAACCACTGTGTGAAGACAAAATTCAACTGAGAGTAACTGAGTAGAGAGAAAGAAGGCTGAGAAAATTGGCTGGGACCGATTTCAGTATGAGGATCTGCAGGTGACTGTAGCATTGACATTCAGATCTGTGGGAGCCCTACTTCTTGAGAGCTGACAAAGTGCACAGAGGGGGAAAAATTACAGTCTGTGTATAGGTCTGATATGCACTTTTGTTATGCATGTGTTTAAGATGGCAGTTCTAATGAGCTATAAATGATAAACTTAGGTTTTGCTTACATGCATTTTTTTTATAAAATTAAAAGGCTTGGCATTTAAAAGCATTTAAATTTTTGGTCTTGAAGGAGAAAATGGATATGTAGACATTAAAGATTATTTCTAAACCTAAGAGGGAATATTTTTCTGCATTCTTCTAATCACTGTCAAGGTTTTATAACACATGGTTGGTCTACATTGTTCAGACCAACTCTAGAGGAATCTAAAGTCAAATGTATCAAGAGTTAAGTTGGGCCAGGCATTGGTGGTGCATGCCTTTGATCCCAGCACTCAGGAGGCAGAGTCAGGCAGATCTCTGTGAGTTCCAGATCAGCCTGGTCTACAGAGCAAGTTCCAAGACAGCCTCCAAAACCACAGAGAGACCCTGGCTCGAAAAACCAAAAGGAAAAAAAAAAAGTTAAGTTAATATCATACTTAATGGCAATACTTTCCCTAAGAAGCATATTATAATAAGTATTATTTTAAAATGTTAATGAAAGTTAGTGATCATGAGATGATAATGAGTCAAGGGTAGGTCTTGTGTCTGGGTACTGCCTTTTCTCAAAAGTACTGGGTGATAGAAAAAATTTAAACATGAGAAGCGAGAGCCCTGCAAGCCCAGGGTGGAGGTTGGAGCAAGGAAGGCCTGTTGCTGGGAGAGGCGGAGCTTAGAAGTATCCTGGGTTGAATGCTGCCCCTGTCCTCATGTGGATTGTTTTCAGGCTCTGATGGGAGTGGGTTGAGGAGAGAATGTCCAGTGCGAGTTACTGAAGAAATCTGACTGGGTTAGAAAAAGCAGGGCAGGGCAAAAGTCACCTGGCCCAAGAACAAGCTGGCTTCCCTCCCTATGTCTGTAGAGGTTTGTACATGTTTAAGTGTTAATTGCGGTTGATATGGTTGTATTCTAATGTGAACAATGATGGCTAAAATATGGCCAGTACTCAAAAGCAGTTCTTTATTAATGTATAAATGGATAGATTTATTATCATTAAGGCAGACTAGGTTTGTTTTTGGTGTACCAGACATTGGCAGCATTTCAGAAGGTCAGATGACAGGAAATTGCTTGCTGCTGGGTGCGGAGGAGGGCCTTGGGGACACAGTATTTGCATCAAAGCACAGAAACTCCAGGCCCTGTGTCAACAGATGGCAGCCAGGAATGGGCACTGGGCCCTGGTTACCATGGTGAATTAAAGGTCCTGTCAGCCAGTTCCTGCTAAGAGGGTAGCAGCCGGGGTGTTTGTCCCCAGGTAACCATCTGAGAACCAATCCCTGTGCAAACTAGAGACTGCCTGGTAAGATCAGGATAATTAGCAGGCTAGAGCTCTCACAGACAGGAAGGAGGCAGAAAGGACAATCAGTGTCAGCTAGTCAAGCTTGCTGACAAGTGACTGGGGGGAGGGGCATGTACTTCCCCTGTGAAGAAGGAGCATATGAAATTACCATCTCCCATGACTACCCAGTGGCCACATTTGGAGGCCAGACTATTTGTTTTACATCATTTAGCCAAACTGCTCCCACTTCTGCTCTGTAATGCACATTGTTAGAGAGTAAGCGGGGGAGCTAAAAACATTTACAAGTCAAAGGTTAGACATAGTACATTGTTCGTTGTTGTCGTTATTCGGCGCTACGTGATTTATTTATTTATTTATCTATCGTTTCTGTTTGCTTCATAGTACATGAACATTCAGAAAAGGAAGGGATAGCGATTTCAGGTGAGTTTTTCCAATGTTGGCTGTATTTTCACCGGCTGCATAGCTGTGGAGCAAAGGAGAGATATAGGAATTACAGTAGATTTCTCAAGCCACTAAGAAGTCATTAGGAATTGTCACAGGGCATCTACAGTGAGATTGTTGCTATATGGCAACAGATATCAAAATATGAAGATATGCTAGGCCCTTGCATCAAACAGCACATGTTTCCCGTGTGTGTGTGTGTGTGTGTGTGTGTGTGAATGAGTGAGAGTGTGTGTGTGCATGCGTGCGTGCGTGTGTGAGTGAGAGTGTGTGTGTGTGCATGTGTATGCATGCGTGCGTGTGTGAGTGAGAGTGTGTGTGTGCATGTGTGTGCGTGCGTGCGTGTGTGTGTGTGTGTGAATGAGTGAGAGTGTGTGTGTGTGCGTGCGTGCGTGTGTGAGTGAGAGTGTGTGTGTGCATGCGTGTGTGTGTGTGCGTGCGTGTGTGTGAGTGAGAGTGTGTGTGCATGTGTGTGCGTGCGTGCGTGCGTGTGTGTGTGTGTGTGTGTGTGTGTGTTTTCTTAAGTGCTTCGAGCAATCCCTGCATCACTTTCCTGGGATGCCATTTGCATACGATGTCAGTACTTGTCACACGCCTTCTAATGTGAAGGGAAATGACAGGGCCTGCACATGGTCTCTTCTCCTTTTCCCCTGGGAGTTTCTGATGCTTGGCTGGTGAATCTGAGGATGTAGAATCCATGGGCACAGAAGAATTTTTATTTAAAATTAGCAGGAGTAAGATTAGTCTCTTTGATGGCACTTTTGAATACAGTTTAGAATTAAAGTTCATTTTGTGGTATAAATACTCAGGAGTTTCCCATAAGGAGATCCAGCCCAGACAAAACTTTCTGAGTAGATTTTAGCCTCCACTCAGGAGCTAAAGTCAGTGGTTCTCAGCGTGTGGGTCACATCCATTTGGGGGTCAAAGGACACTTTCACAGGGGTTTCTTGAGACCATCAGAAAACATAGATATTTACCTTATGACTCGTAACAGTAGCAAAATTACAGTTTTGAAGTAGCAAGAAAATAATTTTATGGTTGGGGGTCACCACAGCATGAGGAACTGTATTAAAGGGCTGCAGCATTAGGAAGGTTGAGAACCACTGATCTAAGTGGAGGTGAATTAATATGTTTGGCTTCTTTATTGTTATATTTTAGATAATACCATAGAAGATTCCAGCATAATTCCAGAAGGTAGGTTATTTTTATAGATGTGGTCTTATACCCTGCATCAAAGTAGATCAGTTTAAGTCAAAACATATGTGGTGAGCTGTGTGTTTACCCAGGGCTTGGGGATGGGCAGTGCTGGGTGGGTGAAGCCCACAGGGTTCTGTTCCATGAAGCTGCCATTGTAGAGGCCAGACATGATAGAGTGCAGAGACGGGACCGAAACAGGCAGCTGTGGGAGACATGGATGTGGGTGAAGAGCTCCCCTTGTTTGTGAGTAAGCGACCCCTTCGGAGAAGGCACGCTGGCCATAAAAGGTTATTCTGGTTGGAAATCTGCTGGATGTTGCACAGTTCATGATGTTATTTATACGCAAAGGAGGCAAAACATAGTTATTGTTTGGTTGGTTGACCAATTCTCTTGGAAATGAAGGTGTATTTTCTGAAAAGTAAACATGGTTGCTTATACTCAGTTAAGTAGTAGTGTTTAATTACAGCAGATGCAAATGACTCTTGGCGTATAGAAAGTTCCATGTGGATTGTTTTGGTTGGTCCTCATGGTGGACACTGAAGAGGAGATAGGGCAAGGATCTTTGTCTTTTTTTTTTTTTTTTTTTTTTTTTTATTCTTTTTTTTTTTTTTTTTAATAAGCACAAATGTGCTGAAACTGGAATAAAACCTTACTGAGATCTGGGTGATGCTGTTTCCACGGCATAAGTGGCTGAGTGCCCCTTCCCTGGAGTCCTGAAGTTGACTGTGTGAGAATGCACGCTTTCTCAGCAGAGAGCGACCACAGCAGATGTGAAGGAAGGAGAAATTTTCTCAGATTACTCTTAGGGTTTTTAATGTACATTCTCTGTCAGAGCCCCTGCCAAGGGTAAGCATATTACTGAGATGGACTGCTGCTAAAGGTTAGTAGCTTTGGGCTTGATTTGGCAGACTGCATTGAAGTATAAGCTGAGGAAATATGTGTGAAGGATTGGTAACTAGATTTACCCTCCTGTGCACTTGCAATGGGAGATGCCCACAGGTTTACCTTCTGTATTCAGATAGGAGTCATCTTCAGGTACTAGGGACAGTTGCAGTGGGATTTTCTCTCATTTCCCATCAGCGTCTTGAACATCTCTGAGTCACTGAGCACCAGAAAATAGAAAGCCAAAATCCTTAGGGAGGATTTTATAGACCCTTCCTGGCTTGAAAATAATTAACATCAGGATTCTGTAGAGGAACAGAACATCCGTAATGAGTATGTATATATTACAGAAGGCTGTCTAGTAGATTGGCTTATCTGATGTTGGCGAGGTGGCCCGACTATGCACTGGAGAGACTGAGAACCAAGTAACTGCTCAGTACACAAAGCTGGAAGGATGCCTTAGCATTCCCAAGGTGGTGATGAAGACCTTAGGGTTCCCAGAGAGCTGCCGGTCTTCAGTGCAGTCAGAAGGCCAAAGGAGCTGGTTCTGATGGCAGTGGATGGTGGAGGCATTTTACCATACATCCAGGGCTTGGAAGCATGGTGCCTTCCTAAGAATTTTCAGACAGGCATTTTGACAATATGATAGACTGCCAATTACCTCTGTTGAACACTGAGGGATGTGATCCCACCTATGGCTCTTGCTGGATGGCAGCAGCAAGGTGGAACTTGTCACCTTCACGTGTCTCCTGGCCACCTCTTCTGTTGCTGTAGTTGGTTATATCAGGACATTGGGATTGCAGACAAGTAACACAAGGGTTATTCCACAGCTACCCTCAAGTCCTTTATAGCTCCTCCTTGTGTCTTCTGTGCAGCTCGTGGACTGTCGCTTGGTACAGCCTTTCTCTTGGTAGAGGACAGCTGCCCACTAGCCATGTTTTTCAGTGTGCCTGTCCCCTTGGGATCCACATTTCACATGCCATCAGGGTAGTCTATGTAAAAATCCAGATCTTTGTGTGCCTATCCACTGTCTTCCAGGTGTGCCAGGAAGGTTGCTTTCATTCAGACAATGAATAGAAATGACTCTCAGACTGGCTTGAGGTAGCATGACTGAGAGTAATTGATGGGTTGGAAGCCAGTTTTCGTGAAGTGAGTTCTGAAAATCCTGGGGGAATTCTGTTTTTCTTTACAGCCTGTAGCCAAATAAAGAAAACTAGCATTTGGACAGGAGAGATGTCTCAGCAGTTAAGAGCACTGGCTGTTCTTCCAGAGGACCTGAGTTCAATTCCCACCACCCACACTTGGTGACTCACAGCCATCTATAGTGGGGTCTGATGGTGTCTTCTGGCATAAAGTTGGCAGAGCAATCATAGACATAAAATAAATAAATATTAAAAAAAATGAAAGACAATATTATACAATAAGCAGGAAAGTGGACGCAACTGGATGACACTGAGTGAGGAAATCCAGGCCCAGAAAAGCAGAATCTTTCTCTTCTCTCATGTGGATCTTAGCCTCTTCCTTTCTACGTGTTGTATATCTGTATGAGCCAGGAGGGCTAATGTCATGGAAACTAGAAAGGGGCCCAGAAGAGGGCATTTAAAATCTGTATGTAATGCTGTATTTAAAGTCATGACAGATTGGATTAGCATCTGATTATTTATGAGAAATGATTGAATTTCTGCCTAAATTTCCTGCTGGGTGTGGCCCCTCTTCTGCTCAGTAATGTTATCAAATCTCTTTACTCTGTACATTTATACACATTAAACTTTGCATTGAGTTTCAATTTTATTTTGATCTTGATGCCTTCCAGTGTTCATTAGTTCTCTTGCAAAATTACTCCCTCTAATAAAATCTCTGGTAAAGGGAAAATTCTGGAGTAAGTTAATGTAAACTATGGTGACATAATAGGTACTGTGTTTAGGTTGTATTGCTAGAATTGGCCAGCTGTTTTGTGTTTAAAAATCACAGACAAAAATCTGTGATACTTCAATGAAATTTCCAGGGTAGAATTAGCTGAAAATTTTATTTAACTTGGAATAATAATACTTTGAGAGTGTGACATGAGCGATGGGGAGAAAATGAAAATGTTTGTGCATTAGCAGCGGGTGGGGGTTTTGTTATATTCTTTTTATCTTTGTATTTTAAAATTGTATTTTATTTGTATAAGTATGTTGCCTGCATGTGTGTCTATGCAGTGTGTGTATTGCTGTTTGTGGAGGCCAGGAGAATGCACCAGATGTCTGGAACTAGAGTTACAGGCAGTTGTGAGCCGCCTTGTGGGTGCTGGGAACTAAACACACTCGTAACTGCTAAACCATCTCTCCAGTCTTGTTTACTTTGTTTTTTACTTTTAAAATGGGCTTGGACCTTTTACCATACACAGTGTACAGCACCCAAAGCATAAAAATAAAATACAGATTCATCTTGAAGATAACTTTTTTCGAAAACAACTTTACTGAGTATGCCGTTTGATTTTAATATTGTTTTACAATTGAGTTTTTACAAAGTCAGTGTTGCAAGTATGAGGGAAGACTTTTCAAGCAGAAGCAGGTGGCGTGTCTTATGGGAGTGGTAGGGACATGTGACATCCTCACTGTCCCCAGGAGAGAACGGTGACAATTTTTCAGTGATAAATTCTCTATAGAGGAGACTGGGTGCTGGCTTGTCTTTCCTCCTTGTTTATTGAGTCTAATGCAAACTGTGGGGAGAACGGGGTCTTGGTGCCCATCCGCTGTCAGCTGGGTCCCATCCTGAAGCCCATTTTGCAAATGATTGAGAAGTTTGCACCTTTGTTCCACTGTAGCTAATTTTTTATTTTTGTCATCATAGTATAAAATCCCAATGCTTTTATGACAATCATAGGTGAATTTTTAAAAAATTATTAGCATAGCGGTGATCTTCAGCATGTAATGGATTGTTGCTTTCTTTAATTTTAGAGATAAATGTCCCCCCTGTAGAAGAACAGCAAGGCACACCACCAGGTATGATATTTCCTTAGATCTAGTTGTTTTGCTTTTTTGTTTGAATTTAAAATACTGTTGGTGTTTTAAATTTTCAAATTGGTGTCTTAGTTTAAAATTTAAAATACTGTTGGTGTGTTAATTTTATAAAAGACCTTACAAAACAGATCTATAGTGGCTAAAAAATCTTGAAGAGGATTTCTATATTTTTTAAAAAAAGGCACTTGTATTTTAATGACATAACAGTCATAGAAAACACATTCCTGGTTCAGACTAATACATGTATGTTGTATAGAATTTAAGAAGTGTTGAGAGCTGGGAGTCGGTGGTGGCACACACCTTTAGTCCCAACACTCAGGAGGCAGAGGCAGGTAGATCTCTGTGAGTTCGAGGCCAGTCTGGTCTACAGAGCTAGTTCCAGGACAGGCTCCAAAGCCACAGAGAAACCCTGTTTGGAAAAAACAAAAACAAAAACAAAAAAGCCTTGAGTAAAGTTCTGTGTGAGCTGTCATTGTAGATGCTGGTGAAGATGTCGAGCATAAGTTGAGTGATTTGTGATTCCATTTTGACTGTCAGGGTATTTGGTGGTGGATATGGAAATGTTTGCCTCAGGGTGAAGTGAAATTGTGTGTATGTTAGCACACGGTTCCTCTTGTTCCAGTCTTCCCAGCCATCTGGGCGCTGGGCGGGGGGCATCTTCAGTGCCCAGGGCAGCCTAGTCTAGTCGTTGAGCTGATTTCCACACACTCTCCTTTGCCCCTGCAGCCCTCTGTCAAACCAGTGAATTCAGAGACGGGGCGGCCCTTGAGCCAAGCCTGCTGTTTTCCAGTGCTTTATAGAGCACAGTGCCGTAGGCTTTCCTGGTGATGGGGGATTGGTGTGGACAGGGGAAAGGGCTTTGCTGTTTCTTCTCCAGTCATGTTTCTTGCCATTGCTGTATGTCTCTGCCTTTCTCTTTGAGCCATGTTGGGTCGCTGTTCACCCCTTTTCTTATTGGATGCAATAAAAATCGTTAGCAGTGACGTGGGTGCCCGCTGTAGATTTTTGTAGGAGTCATTGTACCTGGGAAATGAACCAAATACTGAATTTCAGGATGAAAAAATAGCCAAAGAATACAACAGAGAATGTTTTTAGTTGTGCTTCAGTGTGTCT